CTCGCCTGGCGAGGTCTCAGTCGTTTTGCCGTTCTTAATTATTCAAGGTTTTTATGATCCGTGAATATTAGGATTGGGTGTGTGGCTCCTTCCAGTAAATACCTCCATTCTTCTAGAGCGGATTTTAATAGCCAGGAGCTCCCGATCTCCAATATCATAATTTCGTTCCGCCGGCGTCAACTTCCTGGAGAAGAACGCCACAGGATGCAGTAGCTCCTTGGTACCATTCCTTTGGGACAGAACCGCTCCTACTGCGTTTTCGGAGGCGTCCACTTCCAAAACATACGGGAGAGAAGAATCCGGATGGCAGAGAATGGGAGCAGAGGTGAACAATTTCTTGAGCGTTTTGAACGCCGTCTGAGCTTCGGGAGTCCACTTAAAGCGGATCCCTTGTTTAGTCAGTTGCGTGATTGGGGAGACCAGACCGGAGAAGTTCCTAACAAACTTTCTATAAAAGTTCGAAAACCCGATGAAACGCTGTACCCCCTTCTTATCGGCGGGTATTGGCCAATCTAGGATCGCCGTGACTTTCTGGGGATCCATCGCGACCCCCGCGGGAGAGAGGACCAGTCCCAAGAACGTGATTTCGCGCTGTTCGAAACAGCATTTTTCTGCCTTGGCGTATAGTCTGTGTTGACGTAACCGTTCCAACATCCGTAACACGTGACTTCGATGAACCTCCAGTGAGGGAGAGAAAATTAGGATGTCATCCAAATAGACAACCACGAAAACATTGAGGAAATCACGAAAAACGTCGTTGATAAAAATGTTGGAAGGTTGCCGGTGCGTTACAGAGCCCGAACGGCATCACCAAATACTCAAAGTTACCGAATCTCGTACGAAAAGCCGTCTTCCATTCATCCCCCTCCCTGATACGAACAAGGTTATATGCCCCCCGCAGGTCTAATTTAGTAAAAATCATCGCTGACCTCAATCTCTGGAGGAGCTCGGGAACTAGGGGTAATGGATAGCGATTCTTTACAGTGATCTTATTCAGATCACGGTAGTCTATGCAGGGCCGTAATGATTTGTCCTTTTTTTCTACAAAGAACAACCCGGCCCCGGCTGGGGATGTGGACGGGCGAATAAATCCTTTCCGAAGGTTTTCGTCCATATACTCCCTCAGTACTCCCAACTCCAGTTCCGATAAAGGAAAGATACGGCCGAACGAGATTTCAGATCCAGGTAGGAGGTCTATGGGGCAATCGTATGAACGGTGCGGGGGAAGAATGTCTGCTCCTCGCTTACTGAATACGTCTAAGAAGTCATGGTAGGCCGGAGGAATAACCTGAGATAGATCGGTATCACCATCCAAGCACAGAAGAAACCGGGGAGCCACGGACCCTGTGACGTGGCAGTGACTCAGACAGTATGGTGACCGAAATTGAACTGTTCCCTTCTCCCAATCAATCTGGGGGTTATGGGCCCGCAGCCAAGGGAGCCCCAGAATGATTGGAAAAAGGGGGGATGCGATGGCATCTAGACGGAGGAACTCTTGGTGATGGTCTGCCATCGTGGTAAAAATAGGAGGTGTCTCCTGGTCCACCACCCCTGATTTTATGCTAGACCCGTCTGCCAAGAAGATGTTAAACCCCCTTTCTTTGGTCTGGAGAGGGATCTTTTGCCGGTGAGCAAAAGTAAGATCGATGAAACAACTACATGCTCCTGAGTCAACAATTGCGGTCACCGACAATGTTCCTCCGGGGAGCTGTAAAGACACAGGTATTGCCAGGTAACTAGACTGATCACCCCTTTCTGCAGGTAATGGAAAAGAAAAGGAAGCGGACTTACTCATTTTTGCAGGACAGGAGCGCACCTGGTGACCAGCTTCCCCGCAGTACAGACATAGGTTCTGTGATCGTCTCCTCTGACGTTCCTCGACCGATAAGGTGGAACGGGCCAGTCCCCGTTGCATGGGTTCCGAAGTGTCCCCTGGTTCCGTGCTTCGGGTATGGTTCCCTTGGGCTGGAGCTGTTTCTCTCGGTGGAATCCATGCCACCCTTTGACCCTGGCTGCTCCTTTCCAGCCGACGTTTCCTCAGTCTGCGGTCAATTTGAATGGCCAACTCTATCAGTTTCTCAAGGGAGTCAGGTAGGCCTACTCATGCCAACTCATCTTTGAGTGACTCAGATAGCCCGATGCGGAACTGGTGACATAATGCCGCATCGTTCCATCTGGTATCTCCCATCCAACGCCTAAAATCGGACGTGTATTCTTCGGCTGCCCGGCGGCCTTGCCGTAGAGAGTATAGGGTAGCCTCTGCGGAAGCAGCCCGCTGAGGGTCGTCATATAACACAGCCATGGCCTGAAAAAACTCGGTCACGGAATCAAGATGGGGGTCGTGCTTCTCCATCAGACGGTGAGCCCAATCCTGGGGCTCATCCTGAAGGAGAGAGACTATAAACCCCACTTTGACGGTCTCGGTGGTGAACGTGCGGGGCTGCAAATCAAAAAACAGGGTGCAGGCGTTCCGGAAGGCTCGGAAGCGGCTTCGGTTTCCACGGAATCGTTCCGGAAGGGGAACGCGGGGTTCGGGAGCTAGGGGCGCGGCAACTGCTCCGGATGCCGGGGTAGCGGGTGATTCCACAGTTGGAGGACTCTGAGCAGGGGGAGTCAGGGTGGCTAACGACTCCATGCGGTCCTCAATTCGGGTGCAGCGGCTGTGGAAATTCTGGACAGCCTGGGTCAAAGTTGCCAGGTGCTGGCATATATCCTCTAGGGACGCCGGTCCTCTTATTGGCTCTGTCATGGCCGCAAGGTACTGTTATGATCCGCCAGGTGGTGCCTCAGGCTGCCCACTGACAGACCTAGCCAGAGCGTGGAGTCTAAGCCCCGGTCTGTGCTTTCACCAGGGCCCCTGATGGTGGGGATGGACTTGTAACAGACCGAGCAGGCCCACCAGTGGCAGAGGGAGCCTCCGGGGATGTATGCAGGTACCGGGAGAGCCAGATGTGAGAAGGACGGCGGGACCTAGCAGGATGGTCACGAGCCGTGGTCCCATGGGTAAGCGAGGTACCGAATCGGCAGGCGAAGAGTAGTCAGGTCACACGCAGGGTCAGCAGGATAAGTAGGTCCGCAGAATGGTCAAACAAGCCGGGGGTCAGGAAAGGAGAAGGCAGAGTAGTCAGGGCAATCCGGGTCAAAGCACAGGAGAAGGCAGCGTAGTCAGGGCAATCCGGGTCAAATCACAGGAGAAGGCAGCGTAGTCAGGGCAATCAGGGTCACTAATCAGGTACAGGAACTTCAGGATCACAGATAGACCTTGCGGCAATCTGTGACAGTGCAGGGCATCTTTAAATAGTGCACCCTGCACTGTCATTGGCCGGCCAGGATGCGCCCCCGGGCTGTCATTGGCCACCCGAGGTGCGCCTGCAGCTCCTACTGCGCATGCGCGGTGTCCTGTCAGCCGCGGCCCACCGAGACCTAGTGCCTGTGTCCCGGCGTGAGCTGTCGCAAGTGCGCGTGCGCCGGGAGAGGCGCCGCGATCCCTGACACACACGTTAAATTGGTGAATGTGTTAGTGGGGGGAATGATGCCAGAAAGTCCGAGAAGAGATAGAACTTCGTACTCCTGGATGGAGAAAAAAAAAAAACAGCCCCAGAGCTGGTTGATATTGCACAAAATAGAGGAAAAGGAAAGAGCTAAAATGATGAATGTGATAGCTCCACGGGAGGCTAGGGAGGAGCCGGTTAAAAGGGAACCTATTTGATTAGAGATGAGCGAAGTATTCAAAAATTCGATTCGGCTAATTCGCCGAATTCGCGGAAAAAATTTGATTCGAGGCGAATATATTCGCTGCGAATTTAACTTATAAAAAGGGTGTTTCTAGGCTTCAGAGAGCCTTTATATTAGTGCAGAACACTGTACCTTTAATTTAAATGCAATTGGAGTCTGCTGGGGAAGAGAAATTAATACTGTCAGTCAGTATGACATGCAGATGAGTGCCGTCGATCTTAGAATCACCGCACACTTCACTCATTTGGGCAGTCACGGGGCCCCAAAACCAGAGTGTGGAGCCACAGTGTGGCGGTGGAGGCAGCAGCAATGGGAGGCCATACAGCACCCCCTATGACAAAATGGAACCCACCAGCAGTGTGAGGAGACCTGAAAGTGGCACATGGCAGAGTGTGGCGATGGAGACAGCAGCAATGGGAGGCCGTACAGGGACCCATGACACACTCTGGACCTGGCAGCAGCATGAGGAGGCGGTACAGGGGCCCATGACAGATTACGGGACCTGGCAGCAGCATGCATGAGGAGTCGGTACGGGGGCCCATGGCAGATTACGGGCCTGGCAGCAGCAATGGGAGGCCATACAGCACCCTATGACAAAATGGAACCACCAGCAGTGTGAGAGAGACCTGAAAGTGGCACATGGCAGAGTGTGCGATGGAGACAGCAGCAATGGGAGGCCGTACAGGGACCCATGACACACTCTGGACCTGGCAGCAGCATGGGAGGCGGTACAGGGGCCCATGACAGATTACGGGCCTGGCAGCAGCATGCATGAGGAGTCGGTACGGGGGCCCATGGCAGATTACGGGCCTGGCAGCAGCAATGGGAGGCCATACAGCACCCTATGACAAAATGGAACCCACCAGCAGTGTGAGGAGACCTGAAAGTGGCACATGGCAGAGTGTGGCGATGGAGACAGCAGCAATGGGAGGCCGTACAGGGACCCATGACACACTCTGGACCTGGCAGCAGCATGAGGAGGCGGTAGGGGCCCATAATAGTCGTCTCCCCACGCTGCTGCGGTGGGGGACTTTTTAAACATAGGCCTGGCTGTAGCAATGGCCTTCAATTAGAAAAATGCCCCACCAGCTTACTCCTTCCGCCACTCTGCAGCAATGGGCCCCTGGACACCACTGTACCGCAGCAGCATCCTCATGCTGCGCCAGGTCCAGCATGCAGAGGAGTGTGTCATGGGTCCCTGGCAGAAATTACGGGCCTGGCAAGCCATTGCTGCTGACTATCATGGAAACCCACCACTCCTGCCATGTGCCACTTTCCCGTCAGGTCTCCACTTACACTGTTGGTGGGTTAGTCGTCCATTTTGTGGGGATAGGGTGCTGTCAAATGGCCTTCGCACTCTGCTGCTGCCTCCACCGCCACCTCTGCGCCATGGTGCCTCTGTCATGGGTCTGCTGTATGGCTCACCATTGCTGCTGACGCCAGACTTCCATGCTTTTTTCTCCTTACCGAGGCCTGTTGTTTGGCTGTATGGCCGAATATTGCTGCTGCATCCACTGCCACCCTGCGCCATGTGCCTCTGTCGTCTGCTCACAGCTGCTGACAGGCTTCCGCTTTTTAACCTAGGCCTGCGTATGGCTTCCGAATACTGCTGCCTCCACCGCCACCCTGCGCCCTGTGCCTCTGTCGTCTGCTCACGCTGCTGCCAGGTCCATACTGATTCATGCCCCCTGTACCGACTCCTCATGAACGTGGTTCAGCGGGTTTGCATCACTTAACGGCAAATCGTTGACAAACGCTGGGACGTTCAGTGTTGTGCGCATTAAAGCCAGACACCAAAGGCAGCACAGACCTGTTATTACTCGCTCAAGCATGGCTGAACAAAACCAGTCTCTACCAACAAATTTTGGACCCAGACCTGCTCAGGGTCTCGTAAGTAGATTGCACGGAGGAGTAGAGTTCGTTATTGGAATTAACTGTGAGGGACTTTAAACCTAGGCCTGTGTATGGCCTTCAATGAAGCTGCTTCTGCTCCGCCACTCTGCCATTGGACCTCTTTGATAGTCGTCGACTATCAAGAGTCCAATGGCAGAGTGGCGGAGCAGAAGCAGCTTCAATTGAAGGCCATACAGAGGCCTATGTTAAAAAGTCCCCCAGCAGCAGCGTGGGGAGACGACTATCAAGATCCAATGGCAGAGTGGCGGAGCAGAAGCAGCTTCAATGTGAAAGGCCATACACAGGCCTAGGTTTAAAAAGTCCCTCACAGTTAATTCCAATAACGAACTCTACTCCTCCGTGCAATCTACTTACGAGACCCTGGGCAGGTCTGGGTCCAATTTGTGGTATAGAGACTGGTTTTGTTCAGCCATGCTTGAGCGAGTAATAACAGGTCTGTGCTGCCCCTTTGGTGTCTGGCTTAATGCGCACAACACTGAACGTCCCAGCGTTTGTCAACGATTTGCCGTTAAGTGATGCAAACCCGCTGAACCACGTTCATGAGGAGCCGGTACAGGGGGTCCCATGAATCAGTATGGACCTGGCAGCAGCGGAGCAGAGACGACAGAGGCACATGGCGCAGGGTGGCGGTAGTAGGCAGCATTATTCTGAAGCCATAACACAGGCCTAGGTTAAAATGCGGAAAGCCGTCAGCAGCGTGAGCAGACGACAGAGACACATGGCGCAGGGTGGCAGTGGATGCAGCAGTATTCGGAAGCCAAACACAGGCCTCGGTTAAAAAGCGGAAGCCGTCAGCATCGTGAGCAGATGACGACAGAGGCACATGGCGCAGGGTGGCGGTGGAAAGGCAGCAGCAATGGAAGGCCATACAGCACCCTATCACAAAATGGAACCCACCAACAGTGTAAGGAGACCTGAAAGTGGCACATGGCAGAGTCTGGCGATAAAGTCAGCAGCAATGGGAGGCCGTACAGGGGACCCATGACACACTCTGGACCTGGCAGCAGCAAGAGAGGCGGTACAGGGGCCCATTGGCAGAGTGGCGAAGCGTAAGCAGCTTAAATTGAAGGCCATACAGAGGCCTATGTTAAAAATAATAACATGTTTGGGGCATGATTCATGGCGGATTAGTCAGTTGTGTCAGGAGACTGGTGGTTTGAAATCCAGACTAATCCACGCCTGATTCATTTTCACACAACGTGAGTCCCTCTCTCACACTTTGGGGTGGACAGTCGTGTCCTACGTGGAGTTACAATACCTCCTGCCGCACTAAACACGCGCTCCGATGCCCACGCTACTGGCCGGGCATGACAGCCTTTCAAGGGCAAATTCAGCTAGTTGGGGCCAAAGGTCAAGTTTCGTTGCCCAGTAGTCAAGGGATTGTCTACCTCGGTTGGCAGGGTGCTGTCCAAGTAGGGCCCGAGCCTTTGTTTGAGGTCCTGCTCCAGGTCCACCTGATGCTGCTGCTGCTGCGGCTGGTTAGTAGTTTCCTCACTGCGCTGTGAAGAAAGCTACTCATCATCGACTGCAGACTGAGGCAGCCGCTGCTGGTGGGGCTGCCACTGCTCCTACCACCCCACCCCTCCCCTTGCTGCCATGGCAGCGGAACGCGAGCGCACAGGGCCCACAGTGTCTGAGGATGGACGTTTGGCGCAGAAAGGCAGAGACCAACTGACTACATAGGTGTTTTTTATAGTACGTTATTTTGGCCTCCCTCTCAGCAGGTGTGAAAAAGGCCACCATTTTTGAACGGTAGCAGAGGGTCCAACAAGGTGGGGACAGCCAAAAGTCAACCCCTCTGTCTGGATGGTTATTATTCGGCTGTCGCTACGCAAGCAACCGAGCATGCTATGGGCCATTTGTGCCAAGGAATGCGAGGGACTCCTCCTGCCTCCATCTCCACAGCATACTGCCACGGTGCGTTCTGGGTCCTCTGTCCTCCTCCTCCTCCTCTACCAGATGCTCCTGCTCCTTCCACTCCTGTCCGCTGAGTGGAAAAAAACCACCCATTTCACTCAATAATTCCTGAGCACCAATGTCCTCCTCTACCTCCTCCTCTTCTTCCTGTCCTGCCCCCACAGGGGTCATGTGGCGTTGAGATCTGTGCGCCACGTCTACCGCACCCTGACCAGCCATTGTTAGCAGCATTTGTTCCAGGACGTGCAACAGAGGAATGACGTCGTTCATCCCATAGTCCCTGCCGACTCACGAATAGCGTGGCCTCCTCAAAGGGCCTGAGCAAGCGGCAGGTGTCACGCATGAGCTGCCAATGGCTGACATCTAAGTTACACAGGGGAGTACCTTTATCCACTTGTAACATCAGAAATCGGTGATGGCCTTTCGCTGTTCGTAAAGGCGGTCTAACATATGTGGGTTGAATTCACCTTGTTGCAACGTCGCAGATCAGGCGATGCTGTGGAATTCCGTTCTGCCGCTGCAGCTCAAGGAGGGTGTGCTTTGCGGTGTAGGAATGGCTGAAATGCATGCAAAGTTTACGTGACATTTTAAGGATGTCTTGCAGTGTGGGATGGTGGATTTTTAGGAACCGCTTGACAACCAGATTGAACACGTGAGCCATGCATGGCGCATGGCACAACCTTCCTTGACGCAGAGCAGACGCCATGTTCTTTCCGTGGTCGGTCAACATGGTTCCGATTTTCAGTTTGCGCGGAGACAGCCATCTGTCCGATTTCTCTGTTCATTACACTCAGAAGTTCCTCCCACTGTGTGACTAACGTTCGCCAAGGCATACCAGGTGCAGCACAGCGTGACACCGTTGCGCCCCTGCACATGTGATATGCCGGTCGGGTAATGGGACTTGGCACGGGGGTGGGGCTGAGGACACGGCGGAAGAAGAGGTGGTAGAGGTAGCACAGCTTTGCTGGACCAAGGACGTGCAAACGTGGAGGCAAAAGCGGCGTGACCTGTCCAAGTTGCTGGTGCGGCTGTGCCGGCACCACGTTCACCAGTGGCCGTAAATGACATTTACTGTCCCTGACCGTAGTTACAGCTCCACACGTCGGCGCTGCCGTGCACTTTGGCAGAGACCATACATGCTCAAAGACTGGCCCACCATCTCTTCTACATGTGAATGCAGGGCTGGCACTGCCTTTTTGGCGAAGAAATGCCGGTTGGCACTCTCCACCGCGGCTCGGTAAAAGCCATCATTTCTCGGAAAGGTGCTGAGTCCACCACTTGGAAAGGGAGGGACTGCAGCACCAGCAACTTGGACAGGAGGACGTTCAGCTTCTGCACCGTCGGGTGCGTGCTCGCAAACTGTTGTCTCTTGGAAACGGATTCCAAGAAAGACTGCTGACGGAATCCGTGAAGAGGAGTAGCAGGAGAAGGAGCATCTGAACGAGCGGAAGATGCAACGACGACAACTCCCCCTCAGCAGAGGTGTTGGAGCCTTGACTGGCTGATAGAATTGACGTCGGTGTGGGGGTGAGGGGCGATTGACGTGGGTGGACGGAGCAAGTAACGGAGCGGGTGATGGAGTGGGGGGCTGGGGCAGGCAGAACCGCTGTATCTTTATCACGGTTTTCCCAGGCCACCGAATGGCGACGCTGCATATGCTGACGCAACGCTGTAGTCCCAACATGGGCCCCCTGGCCACGCTTGACTTTCTGGCCACATAGTCGACATACGGCTACGTTTACTTCCTCGGGCGGCTTGACGAAAAATTGCCACACCGCCGAGTAGGAAACTTTGCCCCCGCTACTCCTCACTGGCTGACTGCTACTTCCTCCGTGCACACCGGCACCACTACTGGCCGTGGTGGTAGGCTGCAGTGGAGCTGGTGCTCTACTCCATGGCCGTTGGCCTCCACTGACACTGCTGCGACCCTGCTGCCTCCTGGGCAACCCACCGACTGTTTTTGCTCGCTGCCAAGCTGGCACCCTCTTCTCCTGATGATGCGGAAACAATAGCCTGATGACGACGAGGCTGCCAAGTGCGATCAGCCTCATCATCATCAATTAGGGTCTCCGCCTCACTACTAGCCCCCTCGCTGCGTGTGGGTCAGGAGACAGACCTGTCTCTAGACCGGCTACCGAGCCACTCTCCTCGCCAGTACTTCTTCGCCTGGCTGCTGAAGAGGCGGATGTCTCCCCCCCCCGTCTTCCTGACCGCCCTCTGTTAGCTCTTCCTCACTGTACAGTGGGGCTGAACCCACAGCATTGCGATACTTTGCTTGGTGAGGAACACCAAAGGACAGGGGCAGGTAGAGGACACGTGATTTCAGTGGGCTTGCTCCCGGGCCATGCCAACTAACGGTTGTGTCTGACGTACACACCGACCGTTGGCTGTAGGTGTCAGAGGTGACCTGGGAAGAGGAAGACGACCGAGCCAACCAATCGATGACGGCAGGGTTGTCGGTGGAGACACGACCGCTGGATGACACCGGGAGCACTGGCCTCTGGCTGCGACTAGTGCTGCCTCGACCCCTTCCTCTGCTGCCACGTCTGCTCGCTCCTGAAACATTGCCTCCTCTGCCACTCCTCTGCGTGTTGTCTGACATACTCTTTAATTCTATAAGCACCCCAAAAAAAACGTAACGATTCTGTGTCCCTCAGTAACAATTCTGTGTCCCTGAGTAACGATTCTGTGTCCTGAGTAACGATTCTGTGTCCCTGAGTAACAATTCTGTGTCCCTGAGTAACGATTCTGTGTCCCTCAGTAACGATTCTGTGTCCCTGAGTAACGATTCTGTGTCCCTGAGTAACAATTCTGTGTCTGTCCTTGAGTAACG